AACCTTTCTTCGGCTTGCTTCATTAATTACATGTTTTCACCAAAACTTAGTTTACTTACAATTATATTTTTGCGGCAATCCATGTCAGCAAACTGCAAAGATGCTTAGTCTCGTTTGTAGCTCCATGATAAATCAGAGAGAAATAATTTTTAAGGTTATGACTTGGTAGAGATTAGCTTAGCTATTCTTTGGACTCTGAAGTCGGTCAGAAAATCACTGATTTGACATCATCTCTGTTTGTACTGCCTCACTTCACTACCAAAACGAACGAAACGTGGTTTCTAACTAGAAATATCTAACTATAACACTAACGAAAAATTATTTGCAGACCAAACTGTTTGTTTATCTATAGAAGCATGATTTTCTATAAAAAAAAACGTTTGTATCTATGCACGTGATTTTATTGTCATATTCGCTTTTTTATATTCATATTGGCAAAATATTCGTATGAATCTCTCGAATGCGGTTGCGAATATTCGTTACATCACTAGTGCAAACCAACGAATGAACAGTTGTCTAGGTGTGTAAATTATTGTCATTTTAGTTGCCAACTGCGAAAGCCGTTCATGTCTAGCAGAAACAATGTTGGCGCCGAAACTGTCCCCTGTGGATCAATCATTGAGATATTATAACCGATCGACTACGAGTAGGCTGACTAGAGGGAATAAAAAAGAAGCACAGCCAGACTTCAAATCTTCTATGGTGGGTCATAGAATATAAACTTTCATACCTAGTCTATCAAAAAACCCATATCATACAGGGTTTGTCCGGAAAGTAATAGGACTCATTTTCTTCCGCCATGACTGTACTTCGGAGCGTGCGCGCACCGACTGGATTCGGTAGAGGGCGTTCCTAGCTATCGAATGAGCGGCTGGTCAGTTGTCTCCGAGCGCTTGGAGAGACAGGACAGGCATTTTCGCGCGACGTGTTTCTGTGAGTGGTGCAATCCGAAAATGCAGCGTTCGTTAGAGCAGAGGTACGCGATTAAATTCTGTGTGAAACTCGGTAAATCTGCGACAGAGACGTTTGATATGATCAAGCAGGCTTACCCAGTTGTTGCTTTAGCAAGAAGTGGTGTGTTTCGGGCTTTTTGGAGGGCCGGGAAGAGGTCGCTGATGAAGCCCGTGCTGGAAGACCTTCGACTTCGACAAACACCGATAATGTGACTCGTGTGCGCAAAGTTTTGAACTCAGACCGTCGACTAAGTATTCGTTTAATTGCCCAGATGTTAAATTTACCAAAATCTGTGGTTCATGACATTGTGACACAGCATTTGAACATGCGCAAGGTGTTCGCGAAGATGGTCCCAAAAGTGCTCACTGACGACCAGAAATTGCGGCGAGTGGAAGTGTGCCAAGAAAATTTGAACATGTGTGAAAGTGACCCCCAATTTTTGAATAACGTAATCACAGGTGATGAATCGTGGATCTTTGAGTATGAGACGAAGAGGCAATCTTCCGAGTCGCACACGACGGCGTCTCCTCGCCCAGAAAAGGGAAGGATGAGCAAATCCAAAGTGAAAACGATGCTCATTGTCTATTTTGACATCAAAGGCATCGTCCACCATGAATTTGTTCCTCCTGGACAAACCGTCAACGCCAAGTTTTACGTGGAAGTACTCAGGAGACTCAAAGGAAGGGTCAGTCGGGTCCGACAAGACATCGCAGCCGACTGGAAGTTGCACCACGACAACGCCCCGGCTCACACCGCCTTTCTTGTGAACAGCTACCTGACCAAGGCCGGCATCCCAACGCTTCCGCAGTCGCCCTACAGCCCAGATGTGCCCGCCGGACTTTTTTTTTGTTTCCTCGCCTGAAAAGGCCGATGAAAGGCAAGCATTTTGAGACGACAGAGGGGATCCAAGCAGCATGCACCGCGTCTCTCAAGGCTATTCCGGAGAATGCCTTCCGTGACGCCTTCAAGAATTGTAACGATTGGCTCATTAATTTTTTTTAAATCGACTCAGTCCTATTACTTTCCGGAAAAACCCTGTATGCTTAATAAAGACTGCAACAGTTGATTAATAATGTCGGAAACCATACTATTTATCTGAAACGATGAAGCTCTAGATATTTTAGTAGCTCTACTGGTACACTTCTTTACCAGCTCCTTCTCCTGATGCTGTCTAATCTACTTCTCCGGTCCATAGATCTAAGGATCGGTCTTCTTTTTTTTTGAACGAGTAAGAATGCTTCGGTGTGTATTTCTTCTTTTTAACAGTAGTTGCTATGTCGAGTCCAGAAGCTGTATTAATGACTCCAAAGCCCGCCATACGGTCTTATGCCTGAGGATTTCATCTAGTGTGGTGAACTCTTGGTATCGACAGCAATTGTTGTTGGGGAAACGTTAATGGTGGAATTGGCCACAAAGATCTTGAGTTTGGTTCCATTACTGAGAGTACCTGTTTTAGCTCATTGATCATCTAAACAACATCGCATTGGATGGATCAATGGTGAAAAATGCATGCTTTCAATATTTGGCAGGCAGCTGTTTAGTTCTATCTCTTGGACTATTTCATGCATCCACGTTGTTCCTTGTTCATCGCCTACTGGATTTCTGTATCGTGATTAAATTCTTATGGTTGACTTGATCCTCGTGCAGAATGGGTATTCAAACTGGAGCACTTTCAGCATTTTCGCGGCTCTATGGATATTCCGAATGGTGAAGTTTAATGATTGAATTTTCGAGCACCATGTACGTGAATACAGCGAGTTTTATGCATATGAAAGTTCAATAGTTAGAACTATGCAGTATCAAAAAAAAGGCCGAAGACCGATCCAAAGCCAGTTCTCTCACCAAAGGCAGCCCAACGGAACCTGAATTTAACTCGTTTTCGTCTTTCGGCTGCATTGCTTTTGCATTCCTACTGAAACAACTGTCAAGCAACTCACAACAAAAGTGCAGCCCACCGAGTCTTGCGAAAGAGCGAGCTCCACCCGTATCACGTACTGTGAGTACAACGGGATTATTAGTCAAACAATGTTACAGAGACACCAGGAAGATTCCCAATTTTTAGAGAAAATTTGTAGGACAAATGAGTCGACATTTAAAAAAGATGGCTACATGAATTCAAACAACTTACACGTGTGGCATATGAAAAATCCACATTTAATGAGACAAGTTAGCTAACAGTATCGTTTTAAAGTAAACATGTGAACCGAGATTCTTAATGGGAGAATCATTGTAGAGTAGCGGCGGGTAATATGGAATACTGTTTTCTATTATAGTCATAAATTCTTCTAGGTGCAGTACAGTGCATTAGAAAAGTCATTAAATATTAACTATCCATCTAAGCAAATAAAAGTCTGGAATTTCAAAAACTATGAATTTAAAAGAAAAATAAAGTTAAATAAAATAAGTACTTCTGACATTACAAAAAAATGGTCGGGTCATATGGAATACCACTATAGGGTAATATGTAATACTAAATGAACTAAAAAATATCTGCTTATAGGTATATTTTAGCGACAAAAATCACAAATGTAAACATCCTTTGGCGTATCAGCACAGAACTCATGAGCCCAAAGTTCACATCTTGCGCACTGAATCCAGATTTCTCCTCTTGTATCAGCCGAATATAACCCCGAACAAAACAAACACTCAGCCTCCTTAGATGGAGGATCATAAACAGGAAATTCTTCATCGTCGTTGGATGAGGAGTCATGTAAAGATGCAGAAATGTGGGAATCTTCAGATGAAGATTTACCTTTTTTTGATTTTTTTATTGCCTTTATTTGAAATTTCTTTTTTGGTACGTCACTTGGTCCTATTTTTCTTTTAACTTTGTCCCTTTCTTTAACTGACGATATTTCTATTGATTGTTCCAACTCTTCTTTGTTTGGAGTCGACGTCAAAACTTTGGCTTGACCTGCTTTCCGACTTCTTGTGCCCTCTTTCTTCCTCAAAGTTGGCTTGGGAATTATATCCCGTGGTAAGACTATGGTGGCAGTTTGAGCTATGTTTTCTGGTTGGGGTTTCTCCTGGAGCACATAATCTTCTGAATTTACTTGGACTTCATTTCGTTTTGCCTCTTGAATAAAGTCGGTGAATACGTTCCGGTTGTTAACTGGAAACAATCCAGTTTGGCGAAATCCGTTAACACATCTTTCACCGCTTTGGATTTTCGCGTTACCAAAAAGTTCACTTAAATCAAAATGAAATGATTGACAGGCCGATTATGTGTTCTTAAAAATATACGTAGCCGTACTTCCTCATTGTAATATGTCTTTAATGCTCCCATAACAGTTTTATCCAATGGCTGCATCTTATGAGTTGTCTGTGGCGGTAGGCAAAGTAAAGTCACGGTTTTCCCTGGCAGCCAAAATAACGTCTACGTTTTTAGTGTGAGTATGGTGACCATCTAGAGTCAGTAGAATGAGATTTTCTGCACTCGGTGTAGCATGTTTTAGAAAATGTTTGAACCATTGTGTGAATCCAGCCTGACGGATGAAAGGAAATTTAGAAGTTCACTTGCATTTTTTCTGGGAAAAATCAGAAGGGAGGGTACAAAATTGCCACACAGCTTATGCAAAGGACTGAGGTTATAAGTGAACCTCGTTCGGCTGACGTCATTGTCCCAACTTGCCTTTTGCCCCTTAGAGAAAAAACTTCTGGATTTCTTGATTGAACAATGGTTAAACCAGTTTCATCCACGTTGTAAACTTGGCTTGCCGAATAATTATGAGTCTCCATTAGGTTCTCTAATAGGTCGAAAAATTTCTCTACATTTTCTTTATTAAATCCTAAGGCGCAAGCATACGAAGTTCCAGTAGGTCTTCTCAGATTTAAAACATTTTATGCCTCATTATGAAGTGATGAAGCCAATCCTTGCCAGCTGATTTTCTAAGTAATAAAAGTGGATGAGGAATATTGTTTTTTCTTGCTAATTGAAAAGCAACATTACAAACATCGCGACGCGTCAAGCCAAAGAACGATTTATCCATCTCTAGACAGTGCTTAACTAAATCTTTTTCCAAAAAAATCAGGTAAAACGGGCTTATGGCCTAGTTTGGTACGGCACACGACTTCAGGCTCCATTTTCTTTTTGCACAGCCTGAAAAGTGTAGCTCGAGGAACATTGTATGTTTTAAATAACTCATTTGTTTGCACCTGACTGCTATCACTGCTTTCCGCATATTCTCTTCATTCCACTTTTTGCGTTTTTTATCCACGACCGTAGTTTTAGGCATTATTGATACCCTGGTGTTCGAATAAGACTTCTGAAACAAAATAAATTAATTTTTAGATGGCACTTTTATGGGGAAAACTTTTGCGCGTAATATGGAATAGTATTCCATATTAGCCGCCCTTAGTTGTGATGAGATTTGGAGTTTTTAAACATGTCTAGACGAGTATAGACCCGCAATAACTACATCTTATATTAATCTACAGTCCTTACCTGCTCTCTGAGAGAATATGAATAAAAAATCACCAACTAAATGATAATAAACTAAATTTTCACGGAAGCCAACAAAAATTCTGTATGACTGAAAAACAGGTGTTGACGAATACCTATTTAACGAACGATTACAGAGTTATGCGCGTGTTTGGGTATAAATCTGCACTTACGACGAACATATTTTTGCTACCGCCTTGTAGATGGCAGCATAAGTTTAGATAATTATATAGTATTCCATATTAGCCGATGTATTTCATAATACCCGCCGCTACTCTACCCTTTGAGCTGCCAGAGTTCTGGAATGGCGAAGTTATTTAGACTTTTTACAAAATCGTCTACCAAATTTTTTGTAAGACGAGCCACTAAGCATTTACAGAGACATGTGGTACCAGCAAGACGGCTGCCCGGCGCACTCTGCCCGTTCAGTTAGAATATCTTGATGCGGAATACCCGAGCAGATGTATAAGGCGGTCTAGCACAATTTCGTGGCTAGCCCATTTACCTGACTTAAACGCACTCGATTTTTTTACTGGGGAGCGGTGAAACAATCCGTTTACTCAATGCCAATCGGAAATTTAGCTGAGCTACGGGTCAGAAAAACAGACGCAGCTAAATTTGTTAATGACGGAAGATTATTGTGATTTTAATAAATACATTCACGATCTAATAAAATCTATCTTCTTGCTGTCACTACGTAGAATGACACTTTCCGTCACTCCGTCTGAAAAAAAAATTAATTTGTAGTAATGGGAGATCATCACTTAGTGTAGATTTTTTTAGTTTTTCCGATTTTTTTTAAAGGCTACAATTTGAAAAATACACGACTTGGTCTGTGCCCCGTTGCCGACTTGACGTTGAGTTCTGGGACACCCTGTATGTACAATAAAAGATCTTCGGAATACCTTGTATGCAAACGTATTTCCTTAGACCGATGATCACTCATACATTACGACGTAGTTTTAAAGTCTGATTGGAGGTTATGATTTTGTTATGGAGGGACAGCTTTGAGGATCTTCAAAATGACGAGCAATATTGCGAGTAGTGAAGTTCAGTTCTCTTTGTGTGATTCGGTAAGCAATCATCGAACGGAGTGATATTTTTTACGATGCGAATTCCATTTATTGGAAAGTTCCTCTTACTTTCCAGTAATTTTAGCGATCCTCCCCGCATGTTCGGAAACAGTTCTATTTCGACGGGCTAATAAATTCTTGAATATTTGATAAGCGGCTTCTCTGAAGAGCCCATCAAATTTTCAAAGGCGTAAAAGGAAAGCACCTCAGGACTATACTTAGAGAAGAAACATGAGTTATTGAGGGAAATGTTTCAAAATCAGTACGGAAGTTTTCCTATATATCAGAAACAGGATATATTTTTTTGGGACCACCTCAGCAAAATAAATTCTAGTTAATAAAATACTTTCTCCCCGAAAACACTGCCCTTGAACAAAAAATTCCAAGGGGTCGTTTTTTAGTAGAATCAAACAGACATCAAGGTACTAACACTAATTTCTTGCAAAAGCCAGCGGCTACAGTTTTTCTGCTAAAGCATGGAGATCTGTATTCATATGAACTTTTCTCAACGTGTCTCAGTCTGCGTAACAATATTCTGTATATTCCCAGACAAATTTTATTATGGCATCGTATAATATTGTATTCAGACAACCATTAAGGCTCGCCTCAATGATCAAAGGAATCGTGAACTTCTATCGATACCAACGTATAGAGGAAAAATTCATTAAACTACCGAACAAATCCAATATAGATCATGTTGAAAGTTTTCCCATTAACAAAACCCACACGCTTGGGAATGGAAGAAAAAAATACGGAGATGAGCTCTGTGAAATGCAGCACATCAAAGCCGGGATGTATGGACCGTAAGTTTCATTTGTTCGATGGAAGTTCTCTCCTATGTGGCGTATTTCTTTAATGGTAGTGATTACTATACATGTTCTTCTTTATTTATAGAGAGAATTCTGATGTATACGTTAGGTACGATAATTCAGGTTTAGTTAAAGTAATGCCAGGATTGAAACCACAACTAAGAAAACACCACATTGACTCTTGCTGGCACGGCAAGATATACTCGTAATTATAAATTCAAAAAAAGAATATTCTTGAACTCTTTTATAAATCGGAGAACCGAATGAAAAACAAAGTTAGGTGACGAAGCAGTCGGGCATCATGTAGTCAGCGTGTAATTTTAAAAAAAAATACTAGTATAATAAATAAATTAGATAGATAAATTAATATTGATTGATTTTGACTGATTGATCGCGAAATAATGAGCCGGTCGCTAGGAGGTGGGGAAAGTATTATAACATAATCGCGAAAAATTTTGAAAATGAAATAAAATTTTTTTTGGATGACATGTGATGATGCTGATGATCTTTATTTCATAGCAATGTGCTAACAGAGAAAACATTTGGATATAAACTTATAAACTACAATTTTCTATTACATATTTTTTTAAATGCCTTTTGAAGTTAACAAAATTTGTAGTTTTAATTTCTTCTGGAATCCTATTAAATTCTACAAGGCCCTTATAAAATAAGCTGTTTTGGGCAAAGGAAGATTGTACCCAAGACACATAAAAGTTGGAATTAGATCTAACATTATAACTATGTATATCGCTGACCATTTTTAATTTATTAATAATATGCTCTGGGTACATTCTATTCCTTATTTTGTATACTACCACCATAGTGTTATAAAAGATCTCCTGGCTTACACTTAATAAATTTGTAGATGTCAGCATGTCTTTAATTCTACTGTATCTTCCCCATCCCAAAATACTTCTCAATGCCTGGTTTTGTTTTTTTTGAATAATATCAATATCACCTTTCTTAAACATATACAAGATTGTTGCACAGTAACTGAAATGTGGTAGGATTATCGTCTTATATATAATTAGTTTAGCCCAGACACTCAGGTCTTTCCCCATTCTACATAATAAATTCACTTTCTTTGATAGCTTTTTGGTTACATAAATTGCATGTTTTGAACACGTTAAATTTTCATCTATAATTATTCCTAAAAATTTACATTCATCAACTTGATCTAGTCTACTACCATTAATTACTATACCTTTGTTATTGTATGTGTTAGTTACATTAGTTCATCATAAAAAACCATATCACCCATTTCCGTCGGTCTGTCTGTCTGTCAGTCTGTCCGCTAACCTTATAACCCCCTATAACTCGTAATGTAATTTACACAATGTTACTTCTATGCGAATGATGAAAAAGCATTCTTGTTTTTGAAAATTGGTTCAGTGGCAGCAGAGAAAAAGTTCTAAACTGAAAAAATTAAAATCGCACAATCCTCGGTTTTTGACGTTCTAGATGATCCTGATCATTTTGGAAAAATTTTTAGAGGCAAAAAAACTTGGGGGTGGCGATTGTGTGGGGAGTTGTAAGAGGATGGGGAGGGTTTATCTCAATCTGTGATGGTGGTACATTCATACGCTCCCAACATTCGTAATTTCACGCACCTATTTAACACATCATAGATTTCTCTGTACATTAGCCCTGAAAAATATTGTCGGGATCGTGTACCTATCGTGCACGGCTGCTGATGGCGTCGTGCGCCGACCGTAATAACTGTTTTGTTATGGAATCACACGTATTTCTGTCGAACAACAGCATAGTGCTTTCTATGCTCTGACCTGCACTACCACGCCCTCGGTGCCACGTCTACCTGAATTAGGTATCGGGGAGACGCGCTTCCGGTAGGGTAGGAAAAGGTGTCTATGGACTAATAATTGTATGGACCTGTTTGACTGCCTTTTTCTCAAATGGTCTGGTTTCTGTTGAACATTGCATTTGTGTACGTCTACGCGGATCTCAGCGTACTTAACAGTGGACCTCATGCCTACTCTCCTCCATTTTGGTACCTGACGATACTGTCGGCCTGTCTAGGCGCGCTAATGAGTCTAGGCGACAGATGAAATATAAACGACTAGATCTATATTGAAGAGACTACACTTTTGACTTCCCACGCCTACTGGCTAGGAAGTATATAATCGCGGAAAAAATCCAAAATGAGAAATTGAGTTTTTTGGATGTTATCTGTCACAATGTGCACGACGGAAAACGATGTCACTTATTTCACTCGACCTGTTTTTCTGTCTATCTGTCCGCAAATCCTTGGCCCATCTATAACTTGGAAAGTACTGGTCGGGTTTGGATGCAATGTTTACACAAAGATCCTACTATGTCAAAGATGAAGAAACTGTATAGTTTTTGAAAATTGGTCAAGTGGCGGCGGAGAGAAATGCCAAACACGAAAAATATAAAAATTGCTCAAACTTCGTTTTTTGACGTTTCAGAGAAACCTGATCATTTTTGAAAATATCTTTAGGGTTAAAAAATGGGGGTTGGGGGTAACAGGGCGTGGGAGAAGTTGTATCAGACTTTTTTTAATGTTATTATTAAGCATTTTTCGCACATCATAGACTTTCACATACATTTGTCCTAAAAACTTGAGAATGATACAAAAATGCTTTTGGCATGCGGCCGTATGTCTGCTCTCTGGCTTCACCAGTCGGCGGGCCCGTTTTCATAAGTGTCCTCGCATGACTGGCACTGTGTCGCGCTGTCGCGTCCGATGCGTCGTGCATCAGGTATTGAGAAGAGGCAACTTTGCCAGATGGACGATACTACGGGTAGGACATGAATGTCTATGGTGTAATTGTACTGACCTGTAGGAAGGACTTCGTCCGTTTAATTTCTCTGCTATACACATTCATAACTAACTATTCGTGATTTTCTGGCAGCCTGATCTAGGCTTGGTCTCTGGGATAACGAACGAAAGGACATCAACTATCCTCTACCCAGGATATAATGTCTATGGCGCTATCTTATTTCGATAGGGCCTAACTTGTGCTAAACATGATGATGGCGTTGCGTGGAAAATGCAGAGTTCACCTGCTGGACGCCATTTTTTTTCAAGTGAAATATCAATCAATCATACAATCTGAGTGTTTTCTGAAGTAAAGGTATTTATGAAAATGATGCCGAACAAATGAGTGACATTGCGTTCAAAATATCACTTTGTAATGGACCCGGTGCTTAAACTGCCAAGGTAGCTTTATAGCGCAATAAAAAATATTTTCCGAGACCAGTTCCCTCAATCATTAAAACTGTTGTAAGGATTTATGCCAACAATAACAACCTCGATGTAATGAAACCGCTAAAGCCAGGAAGCTGGCGGCAAAATTAGAGTAAGTGTGTCACGTTGAGTCACCAGCGTGGGGTACAATGTATTTTACACGAATTATACCTATTTAAGGTTCACAGCATTTGATCTTTTTCGTAGCTAAGAAAATGAATAAATTAAAGAGCCGATGTTCTTAAGCTTCCAACTAATGATAGGTTGAGAGACGCAACTACATTATATTACTTTCACCTCTTAATTCCCATCTCCCACACTGCATATAGTTTTTTTAAATTTAATATAAACTGTATAAGCTTTTAACTGTAACCAAATTTTGTCATGGCAAGATCTTGATAATAAACTTAGGTAATATTTTTATTACCTTAAACATTCTTCCGTCAATTGATTTGTTACTTCCTTCGTATTTTCTGACAAATCTCTTTTAATGTTTCCTACCAATTGATACGATATTCTCATTACCGATTTAAGCACTTTTCATCTATCAGTTTATCGCCGAAATGAAAGGCTAATTTGTTGATAATTTTTATGTATACATTTAAAAAGTACGTTAATGGCAAACCGTGGGAATCTTCTAGACTTCATTTTTCGCATATGCACACGCTATCGTGAACTAGCATAATTTATAATTTTAGCTCTAGGCCTATTGGATGACTCACTTTGGATGTCTTTGTAGTTATCCACATAGTTTGTGAAGCTTAGTCAGGGTCAATGCAACATTTATGTAATTTGAGCAAATGCTTAAAGAACGAAGTAGGTTCACAATTGAAGAGATTATTTTTAATTCGTGAAAATGAAAACATAAAACAATAAACGTTGAAGGACTCACAAAAAAACATTTCTTTGATTGCATAACATAGATCAAGCTTCCAAATTGCGTTGTTCAAAAGAATTAAAAAGGTATTTAAAAG